GTACTTGCGCGTGCTTGAGCTTGCTTGAGAGAACTTCAGGAATGAACAAAACCTGCGAGATCCACATGTGTCCGAAACTCACTTCCTGAGTGGATTGCCGAAAGAAGGCATACCGTCCCTCCCACTAACAATGACATAGCACCGGACAGAAAGGCCCTTCAAGAGGAGAATCGACCTTCAATCCCCTTCGACTGGTGCTAGGAAAGTGGGAGGGAGGGTAAACTGTTGTTTGCCTCTAAACTGGTCTTCCCAACAAGTACAAAGTCCAGGAAAACAGAGAGCAGGGGTTGTAAGGAAATGCGAATCCTGGGTCTTCGCAAAAAGAACCATTTGGTGCCATGCGAATGTGGACTTCTCTTGCCCTCCAACCGAGAGTAGTGGAAACAAAACCCCCGGCCCAGGGGACCCTTTGGGCAAAATTCGGTGAGGATTACCCGGCCACGCTGGAGCCGGTTCCAACTCCTAGAACCTGGAACATAAATGAGGGGGGGGGTTCTTTTTGAGGCTCGGTGCTCCATTTTTTTTGACGGGGAACCAAAAGGAACCCAACCTTTTTGGTACCCCAACCTGTTCAAACGCCCCTTGTCACCCCCTTCAACCGCATCTGTCAGCTCCGGTCCTTGGCTCCCGGGCGTGAACACGGGCTGCATGAACCAGGCTTGCGCCGGGATCTGCCTCCATGTCTGGTGAGTCATTGAAAGTGACCTACTCATGAGGAAATCTGGGCTCATCCCCTGCTGTTTGTGGGAAATTTAGAGTGTCCCACATGGCCCTCCCGAATTGGACCAACCACACCACTGGATATTGACCCAACCTCACATCTATGTATACATATATATATATATATATGTATGTATATATATATATATATGCAACCCCCCCCCATGGACCCTGGTTTTACTGCCTTTTGGGGATGGCAAATCTAGAATTTCCAAATTTATATTCTCGAAATTTCCAATTGTGGGTCCCCAAAGCGTGATAATTTGGAGCCCGGAGTCCTCCACAATGTCCCAGTATGATACCCTTTGCACATAAGATGTTACTTCAACTAGAATTGGAATTCTGAATATAGTTTAGTATGGATATAGTTTTCAAAAATGTGATTATGTTCAATTACAGCTTAAACAAGCAAATCCTTTCCAAATAGCAGCTACATGAAAATGTAAATATATATTTTCGGCTAAACTCCAACTAATCTATAACACAAGAAAGATGGATGTTTTTCCCCAAATATAATCCAAGTGGTAAGTATAATCTAAGACGAACACAACTCAATTTGCTTTTGATAATATCAAGTGAATAGAGACTACATCTCAAATATAATTCATATTAAATATGGCTTAACATTTGGAAATTAAAAATAGGATTTGTGTTGTTTACATTCTGGCCCTTTTGTAGCATAAGAAAGGTCCGACATTGAACTTGTTAGACGGTGTTCCAAAGGGAAATTTCAAGGGAAGAGAGGTTCAAAATCTAAAACTATCTCGAAACAGGGATTCTAGCTAAACCGTTGTATTTAAAGTTCTATTTGCGCAGGAAAGTGAATTCTATGTCAAAAGGTGGAGGCAGTAGATGAGCAAATGTGGACAGGTAGTTGAAGAGGGTGGGGGACGGTGTGTGAACGTACATATGTATATCTATATATACACATACATACACACATATATAGTACCCCCAATGATCCACGCCTCCTCATAAAATACTGGAAAATGCAGTATTTTGAGCGTTGCACCTGCCTTTGTTTACCTCCTGGAAAGGGGTCAACATGAGCATAGCTGACATGAAGCTCACCAAAAGCACTTGAAAGTTTGTCTAACCAATAACTTGAAAATGTGTCCACTGGATCGCTAAGCACTTGAAAATTTGCTACTATCGGATGGAAGATTCAATATTGAAGATTACACAGAACACTTTCCTGAGAATTGTCAATCCTGGCCAAACCCAAATAACATTCAAGTTCTTCTAACACTTGAAAGTGCTTTACCACTGGATTGGGGATTCAATATTGAGAAGCCCACAAACCACCACTTTACTGAGAATCATCCATCCTGGTCAACCCCTAAAATGTTCAAGTTGTTCTATCACCTCGAACATCCGTTACCACTGGATTGAACTATTTCACGGAAAACTTGTCCGAGAATCTTATTGAACACCGAGAGTATTGGGACATTTTAAGAATTATGGGATTCAAGATTCAAGATTCCCAGAAAATATGTTCTCGGATTCTTGAATCTTGAATCTTGAATCCATATTTTTTAATAATTTTTAAAAATTCTGGGATTCAAGATTCAAGATTCAAGATTCCCATAAAAAAATTTCTCACATTCTTGAATCTTGAATCTTGAATCCCAGAATGTTTAATAATTCTTAAAAATGTCTGAGTTGTTCTTGTATTCTTGGATGCATTCAAACTCTTTCAGATTGCAGGTGCTGATGTCATTGCTTTTATCACATCTGTATGCATGCATGCGTATCCTATACATGTACTACCCTCCCCCCAATTTTGCCACAAATCCAAGAAGCAGAAAGAAGCATAAAACACTGGAAAATACAGGTCAACCGCACCAACCCAGGGTTCATGGGGGGGGGTACCATATATATATATATATAGACACGTATATTTGTACATTATAGAGAGATAGATTATGTGTGTGCGTTTTTGACGGTACCCGTTTTGGGGTTTGGTTTAAAGGGAAGCCAAAAGGAGAAGGCTCACTTTTGGGGGGACTCATTTTGGGGGGGTTCCCAGAAATGAGGACGCATACCCATATTCAGGCAGCCTCCTGCTTGTTTCCCCTGAGGGAAATCAGGGCTGACTTTTAAGTTGAACTAGTTTGCCCAATGTATTTCACCCACCTGAATCAATCTGTCGTTTCCGTCACACTGGTGGGGTTTTTCCCCAGACAAATCCTTGGATCCTCCAGATAAGGAGCAATTTGCCTCCATGCGTAAGGTCTCAAAGGATTTGGAAGATGAGATGTCAAAAGCCCGGAGTTTGCGGGTTCTTTTGAGGGAAAGAGCAAACCAAGCATTTACACGCAAGCTTTGCCATTTTTATCAGTTTCCCGTGGTTGAAAATACATAGGGACTTGACACAAGTTTTCAAAAAAAAATGCCAATGACGGAGGCGCCGGTCCACCCGCTGGCAAGTGGTTGGAATGTACCCCAAACGAGCACATTTCAACGCGAACGGCTATTGTTGCTATCCCAACCCCAACCACCCAAACCCCTCACTTTCTCCAAATGGCCAGTTGTCATTTGGTTTTAGAACGCGGCACCCATGAACACTCGGCTTTTCTCGCAGCTCCGCTCGCAAAGGCTCGAAAGGCGGGGTGCTGCTCAGCACCTGAGGCGGGACTTGCGAGCCGGGCTGGTGGAAACCCAAAAGTCCCAAATTGATCGCTTCCTCTAAGGGGGGCTCCCAGAAAATTGGGCTGCCTGAGACTGAAACCAACCCAAAGGGGGGCTCCCAGACAATTGGGCTGCCTGAGACTGCGTCAGGGGAGGGGATTCTTCTTGCAACAGCTCTGTTGCTCTACATGTCTTGGAGGCTTCGTGTGACACCATCCGGCCATGGGCGATGTGGTTGTTGTCCACTGGGACTTTGGTTTGGGATTCGCTGCCTCGCATCCGCGCCTCACGAGCAAAACATGGAAAGGTCCACAGCTCACTTTCGTAGGAGCTAAGCCTCGCTGGTTCGTTGCCAACACCCTAGGTCCCACCCTACTGAGCACAAGCAAGAAGTCTAAGAAGCAACGGAACATGTTTTTGGAACATGCTTGTTGACAACATGCAAGTGTCCAAATATCAATCGAAACGCTACTTCTTCCACCATTGCAGGACTAATGTTACGTAATGTTGACCTTGGATTGATAAACCTGGCCAAAAGTGAAGCATAGGCGTTCTCAGGGTTCCCTGCATGTCCCCTTGAAACATCAAACAAAGGGAAGCGGAAGGCGTGTTGATCAATCCAGACTCAAACATTGACGCCGGTGCCAAGCCAATGCGGTCTGGGTCCGAGCCAATACGACGAGCAGGTGCTCTTGAACTTACTTGAGTGGCGATTTTTGAAACACTAAAACGGCGTTCCCCAAAAGTAGAAACTCCGGGCACTTTGTGATTCGACGACATGAGCCCTACAGATCCAGGATTCATGGCTCTTTTGTTTTAGGCGCGGCCCTGTTTAGGCAAGTGTTCTGGATCACGTTTGGGGAAAAACCTGCCCATCCTCCACCTGAAGGGTCGCATGGGCAGGCGCATGACTATCGCTGGGCGCCCGGCAGTCTATTGGGCAAACTGTGGCAAGTTACCCATGAAAAAACAAAAAACCAAAAAACGACGCCTCAGATGCCCAGTGGCCATGGGCAAAAAGGGCACCCTGTTTTGTGACCTCCTTCTAACAATGTACCCAAGGTTTCGCGCTGCGGCCTTTTTTGATGCAAGGGGCTTGCACGGCTTAGTGCACAACGGGAGCGGCGCAAATCAGCCTGAAAGAGATCTATTTGTGCTATTTATGTTCAATGAAACATACTCTTCTGGACTTTTGCTCCGGGACTCTGGCGTGAAAAGCCCCACCCAACGCAGTTGCTTTCTTTGCCTCTAGTTCTCGTTTCATTCCAGATCGAAATCCCAGGCTTGAAATGCGTGAGACATGAGCTCGCTGAGAGCCCACAGTGAAACGGTGCTTCATTACATGCCGTGGACTTCGCCACACTCGGCTGAGGCGCTCAATTTTTGACCAACCGAAAGGCGCACAGCTGAGTCGAGCGCCGATTGTTCGTGCTCGGTGGCTACCCCGGCAGTTGACGGGGATCGGAAGCGCTTGGGGTGACACAGGTGCGAACACTGCGGCGCAGGGATGAACCAGAAGAAGTGAACATCCTGAAGTGGCGGCCCTTGATATGCCGTTGTACTTGTTGACCTTTTAACAGACAACATTCAAAGCTTCCACCGAGCATGTTTGAGGGTATGTCCCATCGAAACTCAGACTGATGCCGAAGCCTTGAGCATGCGCCTGCTGCATCCCTGCTGGCCGCGCAGAAGGGCATTCTTCGATGCTCAGATGGAAATTTTCTTCCTGTCGCGGAGACATGATGTTTTCACACACTGACTATTACCAGCCATTCCACAAGGATTCATCCATGCTCTTTACCCTCCCCGCTAACAGGCCTTCTTGGAGCTTCCGGCTGGTCCGTGCCTCCTTCCTTTTAGAAGCCATCCATGTCCAGCCGAGCGAAGGGAGACCATCAATAAGGATGCCCCCTAAGACAAACCCAAGAGTCACAATCAAGACCTGGTCGCAAAAGTATGCGTGTTTCGGACTTTCCCTTACGAATCTTCACTTGCCCCGGAGGGTGACTGTAGCTCCAATTTGTGCGATTCTCTTCATGTTCTCTTGAAACCCAACCACAAACAAACTCCATGTCAATGAACATATTGGGGTGCGCAACCCCTTGCCGAAAGGATCTCTATCAAAGGGTTGACGAGCTAGAACGAGTCCTCCAAATTATGGCTGTCATGAGTCCAACATGTTAGAAACAAACATCGCCCATCATATGTGTCAACAACTGGGGACTCCGAACTCCTTCCAGTTGAAACTTCTTTCTTTTCCTAGGGCGAGTTCCATCTTGGTTTTCGGAGCCCTTGAGGGAGTGGGCGGTCTTGACCGTTGACCCTGGGGGATTTGCCAAAGCCAACCCCCATCCCTGGAAATGAATTCGTGCGCACTCGTCATTTCCCTGGAACCTCACAAAGGGCTCCCACAGTTCCACACATCTCGAGGGTTGGGGCATGGTCACCAGAGCACAATCAAGGAGGGGTGGGGGCGGGAGGGGGGGGGAGACTCCGCTTGTCTTTCCATGACTCTGTGGTGCGTCAAAACCACAGGGGCCCTGCAATGCTCAACTTCAGGTCGGTGTATTTCCCTTCGACACCCGCGCCAACCTCAGGATCCCTAGAAAGAAGCGTTCAACAATGCGCTGGGACATAGAGCTGGGCCGTCATATGCGCTGCACCTGTAGAACAACTGAAAACTAAGGGCCGAAATAACTAGAATCGGGGCTGCCGGGCACTGTTAAACATATTAAACCAATTACCTCATCGCGAATGCCTACGAGAGATTTCGCACCAACCGCCATCTACGAAAACATTGATTCTGGGTCACACTTCAACCACCCGAAAACCGCAGGTTTCAGTCCATGTTTACATTTACCAGGGGCCCGATGTTTGACCACCACGCCCTGTTTTTTCTCCTTCGGACCAAAACCTCACCCCTCACTCCCAGAGCAAAGTCGAGTCGAAGCGGTCGAGTCGAGTCGATCGCCTGGCGAGCTCCGCCCAGTACTTCTCCGGGACCCCGCTCTTCTTCAACTCTTCGATCTTGCCTATGTCTCAACCCGACCCGATCGACCCATCGACCCATCGACCCATCGACCCATCGACCCATCGACCCATCGACCCATCGACCCATCGACCGCACAGGCGCAGGATCGATCCCAGCGGCTCTAGGGGCTGATTCCTTGTCCATGCCTTTTAACCATCCTCCTTCTCAAAAACTAGCTGTTTTCCCTGGGTTTCCGGAGGCTTTCTAGAAAGAAGGATCCCTGGAAAGAATGGGGAAGGTACCCCTAGAATGGCCAGCTCAACCCGACCCGATCGACCCATCGACCCGACACGCAGGCCGCGGACAAAGGGAGGAAACAAAATACGAGCCGCGCAAGTTGCAAGACCGGTGGAGTTTTGGTGTAGTTGCTTCCGCGCACGAACAACGACTCGTTTTGCTTGGAGCCGAACGAACTGAGGTGGCAACGCCGCAATGGCCAAACGTTCAAACGGTTTGCTGGGGGAAAACTTGGTTGCTGTTGACCCCCCTGTTAAGTTTAACTATTTTTGCGTTTGGTGGAAAACACCTGTATTTCAACCAAAAAGTCAAAGTCGAAAGATCCAACCCAATAGAGGTCAAGAAAAGGAACCGGGGACTACGACCCACGCTGCGAAAAACGGTGGACCCAAGGCCCACCCGCCAGCTGCCGGCAAGCCGCGCGCTTTGATCTTCTCCAGCCTTGGGCGCCGGGACTTTACTAGAGGATTCCGCATTAAAATGGGCGCGGAGCCCGAATCACCAATCCCCCAAAATGGGATCGGTACCAGTGGTTTTGACCACCACAGCCATATACACTTCTAACCACGTTTTGGCTCCCCTCTGGGCTTGGGCGTCGGAGAAAGAAAAGAGGAGTGGACATGGGTTGCAGGCTCCGGTTTCATTTACCACATCTTTTTGCGCATCTCGAAGACCCAAGGCCCTTGCCTTTCACACTCGTGTTGCCGAGTTTAAGGGGAGGCTTCAGGAACCTCAACCAAAGGGTTCCCAGAGGGTCGGCCTAGCTACTCACTGGAATTGAAGGACCCCTCCACAAGACCATAGATCAAGCCATGTTTGGTATCTCCAGAGTTGAGTTTGACCCATGTCAAACTGTTGTTCAAAACACCGTGCGTTCAACTATTCTCGTCAAACACCTTCGGGCCCCCGACACCTGACAGGACTCGGCGGAGTGACCTTCACACGATATTTCCTCAACATCGCCCCTCCGAAACAACTCACATGATTCGCTCTCCCAAAAGGTGATACTCCAACCAACCCAAAGGAGAAGCATTCGGGAACCCTTTTTGGGAAAACAAAGTCGGGGGAAAAAAAAGAAAAACAACATGGGAAGCCTGGCGTGTCGCTCAAAGTTAGAAGGCCAATCAGGTAGGTTTCATCTTGCTTCGGTTCGACGCCAAGGCGCTTCTTGCGCTCGTTGCCGATGGAGGCCCGCACCGCGTTGCCCTCCTCCAGGAAGTCCCGGCGCTCCTCAAAGGATCCACTGAGAGAAAGCGCATCTTGAAGAAAATGATAGGGAATCTCATGGAAGGACCGCTTTGGGTTCAGAAAAAACAAGTCAACATCCCCCCCGGCCCCACCGGCTCCTAAAAAAAAAAAGAAACCCCAGCCCAAAAAAAAAGAAGCAACAGTCCCCCCCCCCTTCCCCCAACTGCAAAAACAAGCCTAACTCCCCCAACTCCGCGATTGCCATCGACCCAATCTCCAGTCCTGGTAGGCCTTCTCCTCGCGGGCCGAGATCTGATGGCGAAGCTCCTGCGCCGCTCGCTTCGATCGAGGCGCGAGGCGGGAGGCGGGAGGCGGGAGGCCTTGGAGGCCGGAGGCCTTGGGTGGTGCGGCACCCGGGCAGCACGAGCCAAAAGCGCCAAGAGAGTCCCAACCCACACCGCTCGGTATGATGGGCATCAAGCTGGTCTACCCACCAGGTAAAGAATCAAGAAGGCGGATATCTGCACCATATTTTGTGGTTGGGACTCTCCCTTAAGCCTTAAGCTTCATCTACCCCAATCGGTTTTCAGGAAGTGGCTCGAGTGAGTGGGAGAATTGCTGGGCCAGGCCCCCGAAAGGCGGTTTTTCAAAAAGGCCCGTGTCTGGCCCAATGCTGCAAACCACTGTTTTCTTGTTTCCCGAAGCGAGGAACCGGCCACCCAATTGCTTTGCGGATGGAAAACACACAAACAACATCGAGAAACCATGGGTGCGAGCTGCCAATTAGGTGCTTGTGAAAAAGGTAAACAACTACTCACCGCCCAGGAACTTGCCCCTCTGAAACGAAATGAGGAACTATCTATTCGATCACCAATTCAGCAAACAAAGCGCAATGACCCAAGACCGTGCCCTTACACAGCGAAACCAGAGTCAGTGCGGCCTAAAGCTTCAAGTCATCTTAGAAAAACGAGAACGCCCACGCCCGAAATTTCAGCCATGGGAAAGCACAACCGACCCTCTTTTGTTTGGGGGCCCCTACTTGAAAAACACACCAGCACTCAAGCCTCCTTTGCACCTTGTCCATCCACCTCAAAAGGAGTGCCAAGGGAGAAATTACCTGGATCGCCAGTTGCTGCTTTTTGTCCATGTACTCCAAAAACCAGCCACAGGGACAGGAAAAAGCTGCAACTTGGCTATCTAGGTACTCTTCAAACACGCGCCCAACTGAAGTTTTCGTGTTGGCTTGCCTTCTTGGTTGCTGTTGACCCCCCTGCAAAAAAGTGTTTGAACTTTTTGAAGTTTGGTGGAAAACACCTTGATTTGAACCAAAAAGTCTAAAGTCTAAAGATCCAACCCAATAGCAGTCAAGCCTTTCTCCGCCCCGTTTAAACCCCCGACATCCCAAAGGTCCTCCGAGTGGCGGATGCGCACTCCGTGCTCCTCCTCCTGCCTCTGGCGCTCAGCCTCCTCCTGCTGCATCTGGACCTCAGCCGGTGACTTCACCACAGGGACTCGAAAATTTCACGACATGGCCATGGGTCAAAAGCCAAATCGTACCTCCAGTGAACATCCCAATCCCCACTAAAATAGGTTCTAAACTGGGTGGTGAATTCACCTACTACCCCAAAATAGGATCCCAGTGGTTTTGACCCACGGCCACATCTCGTCTTAAAGGATACGGCGCAACTCAACGGGCTTCTTCTAGCCTTGTAGGTGTCCCTGAAACGGTTGCAAATGTTCGGTTTTGGCTTCGCTTCGAATCGATCCAAGGAGCTTTCCCAACAAGGGGCTCCTTTAGGCTTCACTTCCAAGCACCAGCCAACACATCAACAGGAAACTCATCTCAAGTGGCAAGAAATTGGTGAGCCGGGCTAAACAAAAAGGAGAATTGGGGGGGGATACCAAACCAACATGGAACAAACCAAAACCGAGAACCCACCGCCGGAATCCACCGGAGAAAGGTGTGGGGGGGGGGTCTGGAGGGACCGGTAACGCTCGCTCCGCTCGCTCCGCTCTCGCGACTGCGTTGCTCGCCTCGATGATGCGCTCGAACTCGTCGCGCTCGAACTTGGCCTGCTCCCCAAGGCGGCGCTCCTTCTCCGCCTGCTGCTGCAGCCGCGCCTCAAAGGCGGCAAAAGGAGGAGGTCCCGGGGCTGCTCTTCGCGTGTCTTTTTTTTTTGAGGCGGTGGCTTGGCAAGGCAACAGTTCTGAAGATCCGAAGGTCCCCGGCTTGATCCGGGTCTTGGCATGTTGCTCCAATGAGTAGGCAACGGAACTGTGGTATGCTTCGTGTTCCAACACGAACAACGCTTTTCAGAAAGAAAACCTCACCCTCATAGGCGAGAAAGACAATGCAAGTTGGCAGCGCGAATGAAACGTGATTTTGGTAATTCTGGGTCCAGGGAGCAGGGCTTGAGATTTCCTCTTGAGGGGAAGGAAAAGGACAAAAAAACACCTTAAACAGAGGGCCGCGCGAAAATCATATATACCCATGCATTGGCACGGCAACCTTTGTCACCCGCGAAAGCTGGCGTGCGCTTATAGACGTTCCCAGGCAGCACGGGCTGTGCCACCATGGCCTGATTCGGAATCAGGGCGCTGGCTTGCAACGCACCTCAAATACAAAAACGGATTCATCAGACCGGCGCAGGTAACTGGCCGAACCCTTTTCGGGTTCCTGAAAAGGGTGGAACTTCCGGGAACGGGTATCTTGTTTGAGATGACCAAAAGGAAAAAACACGTTTTGAGTTGGGTGTCTGTTTTCAGACCCAAAAGTTAACACACTGGTGTTCCTCTTGGCTTCCCTTAAATACTGCACAAAAAGGACCGGTACCAACTCCGAAAAACGGTTCGTCGCGGACCTATTTGGGTGCGCCTTTTGATAGGGGACCCCCCTCCCCTCAAAAAATATGTTGGCTTTCCTTTTGGTTTCCCTTCAAAAACCAACAAACAAGGGCTACATTGGACTGCACACTTTAGTACTTAGTATACTGTATTTCCAGAAGCTGAATTAACGGATCCCACGTAAAGGACCTTTGTCACGGTGAGCTCGTTATACCCCGGAATCGCTCAGCTCGCTATAAAACAGGCAGGGATCGGAGAGCTCGAAACAACTAAAAGTGCCTACCCCCCCATATAAAGAAGGGACTCCCTTGTATCACAGTGGGGATATGCCCTGACCTGGAAAAAATAGATTCCAATAGTGATAGATTCCCTTTAAACCAACAGGGGAAAATAAAACATATATGTGTCCTTTCGGATAAAATAGCTGGGCCTGGTAAACGGAATAGATTAAAAACAAAACAAAAAACAGGGCCACCCATGTCTCACCAAACTAACCACACTAACTAACAAAAAGGCTACCTATGCCCGCAACCCTGAACCCTTCCATTTGCTTGAGCTCCCTTGACAAAACAAGATGTCCAATAGTAGTTTCCCGTTAAAACCAACAGGGAGGGCATAACACATATTCATTTCAGCAAATGGAAGAACCTGCAATGGCCTCCAATGGAATAGGGGGATTAAAAAAAAAAAAAGAAAAAAATGCAGAGCCATCCATGTCTGACCAAACGAACCCAACCAATCAAGGCCATGCCCAATGGCCTCCTTGAGGTCCGCGTTCATGCGATCCTGCTTCTCCTTCTCCGCCTGCTCCTTCTGCCGGGCGCTGCGCTCGGCGGCCTCCATGGCACCTGCTGCCCGACGCCGAAACCCCCCAAAACGGCGATCGGCTGGGCTGTGGCCACCTGAACATGGCCCGCCCTCCGTTGTGGCTGGTTTTTTGGGGCTGGTGTTGGGCTGGCCACCGGAACAAGACACATAAACTGTGGGTTTTTGGAGGGTATGCCAAAAAACCCACCATTTTTGGGGGTCGCCCCCTTTTGCCACATGCGCCAAAAAACGAGCCGCCCTCCATTTTGGCTGGTTTTTGGGGCTGGTGTTTGGCTGGTCGGGCCAAAACGGGCCCAGCTTGAGAACCATTCACACCCCCTGAAGGAAAAACAACACCCCCGAAAGACTAAAGTGGACCATTTTGGGAGGCGTGTTTGGGGTGGTGTGTTTGGGGGGTCCTAGGAAAAGTTCAATTTCCAGCTCCTGAAAAAGAGGCCGCTAGAAACATCCTAATCGCTTCCCCCTATGATTAAATCCCGCCCCCACCCCCCGCACCCCATTTTTGTTTGACCATGTTTCTTGCACAACAAATGAAAACAATAATAAGATAACAATAGTAACATAACAACAATAATAATAATAATAATAATAATAATAATAATAATAATAATAATAATATGAAAATCATAATATGGTACTGATCACAATACTACTAATGGCAATAGGGTTTCCACTACAGTCCCGGTCCAAATGCCACACCCCCCTTTGCTGGGCGAAAAGCCCCCCAAAAGCGGCAATCTTCCGAGTAAGGGAAGTTATGTGAAATTACTCAAGGCACTTTTTGGAGTTTGTCAAGTCAAAATCGAAAGGCGAAATCAAAATTGCACTTTACAAATTGAGTTCACAATTAAAAGAAGGGAAGTGCTGACAGTACCCCTTAATATGGGTTGCCCGCAGTTTCGTATTGGTTTAGTATCGGGCAAAATTATAAAGTAAAAGAAGCACAGTCTTCGGGAATTTGGCGTGAAAGAAAGATTCATAGTGGATGAACAATAGGTGGAAGCACTTACACTGGTTCCCTTGATTTTCCCTGGGGCAAACGGCAAACCCCGCGGGTTTTGATTCAAAGGCTTCGCTCTCGAGGGCGAACTCCCGGGAAATTCTTTCAGACCCAAAAAGAAAAAGTGATCAGCGCCCCAAATTGACCTTTGAAGCTGAGGTGGTTGTAAAGATCTACATGTTGACCCGTATGAATCAACCCCGGTTTATCAATCGCGGGGTGTTCTTCTCCAAAAGCGGTCTGATTCCCCCTTTCACCATACCACCGACAAAAACGGCCCTTTTGGGACTCGGTTTTGGGAATCCGCTGCTCACGTGGACACTAGGGAGATCGAGCACTGAAACTTCGGAGTTTGGCCGAGATCAATCCTGTAGAACTCTTTCAAGGATTGGGTCATTTGCACGCCTTGCCTTTGTTAGATGTAGGAATCAGATTCCATAGGACAAATAAACATCTGCAACCGAAAAGGGCCATTGTGAAGCTCGGCATCATGCTTGACAAAATAGATCTGCAAATTCTATTTGGGTTTCCATCCCGGCCCCATCAAACCGGGCGGGGAGGGGGGGTTAAGGTGCCATTGAACAACTGGGCCTTTACTTCGGTATTGGTTGCGTTGGGTTGCCAAACAACTGGCTATTCCACCGCACCGAGCATTACGCAGTAGCCAAGCAAAGTATGCTCTCTCTGTTAGAAACCCCGACCTCTCAAAAGGGTCGCAACTCATTTGCCCTGGTGTTTGCTTCTGCAGATTCGGAAACAACACACAAGTTGAAGAGGTTTTATCCGGAATCATTCACCTTCCAACAGGGAGTGCAAGACAAATCATCGGATTGCAACACCCAAAACAACTTTACAATACTTTACATCCCAAACCACAAAACATAAGAGAAGACCGAAACTCATCCAACCCGAGTATTTCTTTGACACATCGCCAAGAAATCACTTAGATCGAACACCACGACCATGTGCCCCGTGCAGCTCCCGGGCGAAACGTCACTCGTGAAACCTGAAACGTCCGCTGGGCTCCCCGGGCGCTTGGCCCGCAGCGCGTCCATCTCCGCGGCCTTGTCCTGGGCCTTCTCTTGCCTTGCTCGACGTGAAGCGAAGGGATACGGCGAAGCGACGGGCGAAGCGATTGATCCCTTCACCCAAACGGTACGGAGTTTGCAAACAATTTGCTTCGTACCCCCTACTAAGAAAATGAATAGGACTAAAAGCAGAAACAACTTGCCAAGAGCCGTGACGCCTGCCCAGTGGGATTTCCATGGGACAAAATATCGTGGGGGCCCCAAACATGTTTGGTAGATCCCACCTGCCCCTGACTAAACTGGGAAACAAAAGGTTAGCTTCTGGAATCTGGACTAAATCAGGAAGACCAAAAGCTCCAAAGGTCGGCTTTGGGCAACTTGGCGACTTTCAAGGGAACCCCCCTCAAACCAATTTACGGAAAAAGAACAACCATGGGTCTGGGCCCTTACCCTATCCTCCAAAGCAAAAAGCCTCACGTCGTGTTCCTCACCAAGGGATCCCCTAAGGCTTTCCCTCGGTGGCTTTCAGACATCAGGTTTTCAGGCGCCAAGTACGAGTGAGGTTTCTTCCCTTGGGGAGGGGGCTTCAGTTGCCATGCCGCTAGAACCCGCGCGGAACCCTGCAGCCTTGCTAAAAGGAGCCTTTTGCTTGGGGGGAAGAAACATGTGTTGGACGTCTTACAACCCTACACGAAGTGACTGCATACAAATCTGTATCTACCCGGGTGTCACAAGTTCCAGGATCTTCGGTCCACGGGTATGGCATCCAAAACAACCAAACCATCTTCCCACGGAACGGGGAGGGGGAACGAACCATATGGATTGAGCCCATCCGAAATTCGGCGGCGTCAAAGCGAGGAGATGAGAGATGCCGCATGGCTGGCCGCAAATTTGCGCTGCTTTTTGACTGACGAGTTCTTGAGAGAATGCAGACCCACGCAGGCGAAGGGCCCGATCGAAGGGGGTGGGTAGAGGGGGCCCGATCGCACGACAGATCGGAGGCCAAGGAAATCCTCTGCAAAGTGAGCATGGGGTTTAAATCAGAAACTACAGTTCGAACCACGTAACTTGATTATCACTTGTGATGAAAACTAGAAGTATAGAAGCACTAGATAGATTATATATAAGTTGATTTAAGCAAAACATGTTCCCAAACCAAATTTGAGAAGCCTCTAATGCTTTGACGCCTTCCTGCGCGGGAAGGAACGAGCGAATCCTTCGGACTGAGCCGGCGGGCATGGCGCGGAGCCGGGCCGTCTCCCGCTCCTGTCGAACGGGAACCCTTCATGCCCTTCTTTGGGGGGGGGAGGTTCAGGGGTTTGAAATCAGAAATGTCAGCTCGTTGCGCTTGGTGTCCCCTTTTCGTGGGGAATCCTTGGCGTGTTTTGGCCCGCACTCCCGTATTTATGGGACGGGTTTATGAATCCGGGGTAAAATTCGAGCTGTTCCGGAAGGTTTCTGATTTCTCGACAGGAGCCCGGGGGGGCAAATCCCCAATCCAAACCACCCACTAAGGGTTAACTCACGGGTGGTTTGTGCAAAAATGCAATGAAAACTACTGAGGGTGTGAAGTAGACGACACGCGCCGGGTTTCTTTTGGGCGAGCTCTCGTCCTTGCCAGAACTCGCCAAATGACAACAGAACCTGTTCAAGGAAAACATGCAAAAAGAACGAAGAGCCTGTGTAGAATCCCTTGGTCAGCATGCTCCCTTCCCCAATGGTAGGTTGGTGTACGTGACATGGGAAAGCCGAAACGTGTCCAAAAGATGTGAGAGACACAGCCACGTTCTGCAATATCTAACCTGCGAGTCGGAAACCGCTCGTCAAAAACAAAACACACACACACACTGGCAAAATCACTTGGTGAAGAACCTCCCTTTCCCAAACGTGTGACAACTACGAGAAAAAACGGAGCGAGCTTGTGGGTTGATATTTACAATGTGGAAGGCAACCCACAATGAGCATCGTTCACTTTTGCTTAAGCCCCTGGAAACAAGAATAAATATTTCAAGTAGAGATAGATTACCTTTTAAAACCAAAAAGGGAAAATCTACCATATTCATTTCAGCAAGCGGCAGAATGAGAAAATCCCACCGCACGGGGCCACCCTCTTTTCAGCATAATCAAATTTGCAGATTGGGCACTGCCCTTCCATGATTGCTGGAAGGAGGGTTTGTCTCACATTTTTAGTCAACCTTGAGACACGTGTTTGCTTTTCTGCAGGGAACCTTGCAACCAAAAATCTGAGGAGACCCGGCATAGGTGACCCTTTGGAAAAATTGATGGGCCATCTAACTCATCGAAACCAGTGGAACCCATCTACTCCCAAACCCATCAAAAGGACTCCTAGCCTAGGCGACCCCAGTTCCCCGGACGCTCAAGAACCCGAAGAGCGCACCCGAAGAGCAGCTTCCGCCCGAGTTCCGAGCTCCGAGTTCGTGTCGCGCCTTGTCCGCCGCCAGGCGGGCCTTCTCGGCCTCCTGCTCCCGCTCCCGCGCCTCCTGAAACGATGCCGCCGACCAGGCGGAGTTCTTGGTAAGCCAATGGAACCAACCAGGGAGAGTGGGTAACCATTGGAACCACCCCTTATTTTATGTTTATTTTTATTGTTTATTGTTATTTTCAGTTGCTTTATTTATTATTACTATTATTATTATTATTTTAACAAAAAGAAGAACCACAAGCAAGGGGAACATGGCGGTCTCCTTGTGCCGCCATGAAAATGTGGAGTTGCCCAATTTGTTTCGGGTAGATTTCGCCATGTTGAAAGGTTTGTGGAGTCTCATGGACGCTCCAGGTACATCTTGAATGGGTTCGGTGTCTTTTCTGGGCAGTCCCTTTTTGGTTGGCTAAAAACGAAACGAAACCAACCATTTGGGCGAGAGTGGAAGCTCAGGCTAGCGAAAAGGATGGCTTCCAAACCCCTTGGAATCCACCGAAGTGTGCCAACCCTTCTCGACCTCAAAGCTGCCAGCCTTTGAAGGACAACGACCACACCCATTTGGGTGTGTCATTGTTCTTGAGGGTACTCTTTCTTGGTGGTTCAATAAACAACAAAAACAAAAGGAAAAACGACATGTTAAGAGTCCCCTTCCTCTGAACACTCCCATTTCGTATGAAGATCATACTTTTCTGTGCCACCAAAGTGAGATTCCCATCCCCATGACTGCTTTATCGCTTTAAAGGGATCCCCTTGAGATCATGAAAGTGGCAACCTGAAACCCAGTTTCCTGCAGTTCTGTCCTGTGTCACTCGATGCTCGTTGGAAAGCATGAAAGGGAACGGAACCCCCCCCAAAAGAAAGGAAGAGGAAATCCTTGGCCAATACATATTGAGCCAGTCTGATTACGTTCGATCTGGAAACCTCCTCAGATTGGTCTGGAGTGGTCTGGAGAGACACATTTCTTACATTTCTTTCTGGCTTTTGGGGATAGTTGAGCTGTTTGCATAAACGTCGACTGGCTTCGCCATACACTTCGTGACGAGTACCTGGCGGTTTCGGCGTCAACCAGACCGTAGAACCCCAAGCAAAACCTCGATGCACATGTCGACACAGCCACGGATTTCTCGACGTCGCAAACATGACCTCTCCAGCTTTCCCTCTACACCAGAAGCTTGCCCCAAGATTGAAATTCCAATCAACTGTTTGGTTCAACGATAAAAATCAGAAAGTAAAAGTCACTTGGAAAAACCCTAAGAAAGAAGCTGCTGTCCGACTGCGGCAACCTGCCAGCCGGCGCAGTCCTTGGCCTCCTGGTACTCGATGATCTTCCTGAGATCCGTAAAAAACAAGTTGGAACCAGCCGGTGAAATGGAACCCCCCAGTCAAATAGGGTGGCCAACTGTTGTACTTTTCTGTCCATTTGAAGCTGGTTTTTGTGGAGGCGACCCACAAAAGACAGCCCCAAAGGCCCTTAAAGTCTGTGGTGATTGGCTTCCGTTGAAAGCAATTTTCTTTTAGAGGGGTACCGAGCCTCGAACAAGAAAAGAAGAAGAAGAAAAAGAACGACGACAGCCTCAGTGACCCAGGAGTTGCAGCCATGGATCCCATGCAACCAAGGAGTTGGAGACCCGAGAGGTGTGAAGAACCCAGGAAGGAATTGTTGAAGTTGCTCCTTTGAACCCTCCAAAAAAAGGCACACCTTCGGTGCAAGAGATGCCGTTGAGAGGACGCACAAAGAGCACAGCGCCACTGAAGCCAACAGTGGTTCTGTTCCATGTCACGCACTTCGACTGCTGGGACTGCTGGTTTCCCCCGATCACCTGCGGTTTCTTGACCGCAAGCAAGGCTTGAGCCGAGAGATGAACCTGTCGGGTGTCAAAGAGCCTAAGGATGGAACCTTACGGGTTCTGATCCAAGGATTCCTTACCAGTCTGGTAGAGTGGCCCTAGAGTTCCCAACTCAAGTGGCTATGAGTCAAAATAAAACCACCAGGAAATGGACCGCATGAATTGGCATTTCCATTTACCAGGGCAAGTCATGTTGGGGGTACCCTATCTTGGACCCACAGCCACCTGAATCGCCTGAAGGAAACTGGTCCCACCCAAATGCGTCCCTCTGGACCCACCGAAGTGCCGCCCTTTTCGGGTGCAACATTTCTTTTCTGGGTGGAGGGATATCTGAAAAAGACCCACAGCCAACGGTCGGGGCCCCTTTGCTTTTGCGAGCATCTGCTCTTCCAGCTTCTCCGCGAGCATGCGCTCCTGGCAGCTTGGCTGGAAATAGGACCCCAGCAATATATATATATATATATATACTTGCCTGGTTAGTGGAAAACAAAGGGAACCCCCCCAAACAATCTGGGGAAGGCAGAAGGTTGGGGTGGGGCGACCCTGGCTGGGTGTAATGCCGATAATGCACCTCCCACTTAGTAAGGGGGGGTCCCTGTTACGTTTGGTTCATCCTGGGTAAACGTCAAAAAGCAGGGAGCTCCCCAACTGGGAACGCAAGAATCGGCCCACATACTGTTGCATCTAAATCATGTTGTTTGACTGTTTGTTTGCTTGTTTGCTTGTTTGTTTGCTTGTTTGTTTGTTTGCTTGCTTGCTTGCTTGCTTGCTTCCTTGCTTGCTTGTTTGGTTGTTTGTTTGTTTGTTTGTTTGTTTGCTTGCTTGCTTGCTTGCTTGTTTGGTTGGTTGTTTGTTTGTTTGTTTGTTTGTTTGTTTGCTTGCTTGCTTGCTTGCTTGCTTGCTTGTTTGTTTGTTTGTTTGTTTGTTTGTTTGTTTGTTGGTTTGTTTGTTTGTGTGTTTGGTTGGTTGGTTATTTGTTGTTTTTTGCTTGTTTGTTTGTTTGTTTGTTTGCTTGTTTGTTTGTTTGTTTGTTTGTTTGTTTGTTTGTTTGTTTGTTGTTTTTGTTGGGTTGGTTGGTTGGTCGGTCGGTCGGTCGGTCGGTCGGTCGGTTGGTTGGTTGGTTTGGTTGGTTGGTTGATTGTGTTTGTTTGTGTTTGTTTGTTTGTGTTTGTTTGTGTTTGTTTGTGTTTGTTTGTGTTTGTTTGGTTGTTCGTGTGGTTGTTTGTTTGCTTGCGTGTTTGTTTCTGTTTGTTTGTTTGTTTGTTTGTTTGCTTGCTTGCTTGCTTGGTTGCTTGCTTGCTTGCTTGCTTGCTTGCTTGCTTGCTTGCTTGCTTGCTTGCTTGCTTGCTTGCTTGCTTCCTTGGGGAACCATGTGACTATCAAAACTGAGTCACGATGGCAACCATCCAGACCGAAGCTCCGAATGGAAGATTATGTTTGCTGTTCTTTGGATTCCAACCACTCAACAAGTGTTCTTACCTGTCCAGCTGACCGAGCACGTTACTCAGCGCCTTCCTACTTGAGCGCCTTCCCACGATAAACATTGCTGGTTGTGGGGAAGCCCCCTGCGTGGTAGAAAAAGGAACCCCTTTGCGGCACTGAGACCTCCCCCTTAAAAGAGCTATGACCCCTTTTTGTTGGAAGCTCAATGCGATCACCCTCACACGACATCTTACTTCCCACAACCATCAGCATTAATTTTGGTTTTGTTTCGGGAAGGCACTAGATTCCTCACCCTCCCTCGGTTCCTTTCTGCTGCCCTGCTAGAAGTTCAACTTTTAGTGGTTTAATGAAAAACCCATTCGCTGCTTAAATTCCTAACATCCAAGCAAAACGCACCAAAGCTCCCAGGGGTTGCAACATGGACCCCCCACGAAAAAAACGGATCGGAGCCCCTCGCCTCTTTGATCTTCATGGCCGCGGAGTTGGCCTCGTTCACCTTGCCAGCAGGGGAGGTCGCCCAGGGTATCGGTGGGCACGTGAAAGACTTGGGCTAAAGACATTCCCCTCCCCCCCCCCCACAAATAAACATGGGATGTAAAAAGGAAAACAACAAAACGACCAATTAACATGGAACCTGACGTTCGGGACCTGATCCCTTTAAAAGAAAAAATGGTCAGAACCAGGAGGACCGCCCAACGTCAGGCGAATGTGGGGAGCGTTCGCACCTGAGGCACGTGACTCCCCTATCACCGGCTTGATTTGGTCTTGTACTTCTCTCCTTGCCCATGATTATTGATGCCATCACAAACCCTACAAAACCTTGAATTGTCTGAATAGTTCTCAAGGAATCACTCATTGCCCCAGATTCCCTCATTCTTTTCCGCCATCGTTCTCCAAAACCGATCGCCAATCCCCGGCCTTTTGTGGGAAGCACAAAACGACACATACCAGCATCGTCCGCGCCAGGGAGCAAACAATGAGACCATGTAGGTTCAAGCATCGCCCAAGAAAGGAGGTCCAACGGTGAGATGGGCCAATAAGTACAACGAGTGGTCAGGCGCAGGCAGAACAGCCTGTTGCTCGTTGAGACAAACACTTGAAAGCTCCTAGCAACTCTGTCAGTAAAGAAGTAGACATTTACCAAAACCGCCCAGCAACTGCTTTTCCAATGTCCAAAATCCCAAGGACTATCCAAGGAGCGAAGAAGCAGTGGTTGTGGGGGTGCCGGCATCGGCATAGTTCTCATCTTTTGACTGTTTGAGTCATGGTGGAACCTCCAGTTTCTGCAGATTTCAAGGGTCTTGTTTGGACAATTGAACGGATCCCCTTGAAAAGACATTCCCAAGACATCCCCAACTCCGAGCGGCCGGGGTGTTCGTCGGGGAAGCTTTCTCCTGTTTCAACCCGGGGATGAAGTCGGAGAGCCAAAGGATCCAAAGGCGTGTTCTGGGTGAGTTCCCCTCCCACCAACTAACATGGCAGCGCAAAAAGGTCCTTTCCAAGAGGAAAGCAGTCTTTTGACAGGGGTCTGTGCATTTCCATGTTAGCTGGTGGGAGGGTATAATGTCTCACCCGCCTGAAACTTGCGGTGGTTGATTGAGGGGCCATTCCCCACATAAACCCACCATTTGGGGTGAATTCGGTCGTGTGAGGTCGTTATAATTCACCCAGACAAGTCAAAAAGGACCCGGGTTCAAGTCAAAAGGAATGAAACCACTGATGAACTCCCGGCGCCTCCTGCATAAGCCGCTCCGCTGCCAGCTTCTTCTGCTGCCTCAAACCCCCAAGGGCGCTGTGTGACTTAGAAATCAAGCCAAACAACCTCCCCTCTGTTTTAGGCTTTTTAAACAAAATCGGCTGCGGTTTGAATGAACATCCTCCCTTTCAGAATGCACGGACATCGGCCCGCATTTTTGGATGTGCTTGTTCTCGGGAAACCAAATGAGGAACCCATCTGCCTTGAGGGTTGGCTTGAATATCACCTTTTGGCCCCTCTCCGGTGATGTTACTGGACATATGATGTCTTGTTTCAGGGAACCCCCAAAATGGTGGTTTTGCCGTCGATCTCCCTTTTAAAACCAACAAGGGCACCCTCAAAAAAAGACGCACCCGAATATGAGTTGAATGGACATCCAGCGGCCAATTGTTTTGCATCCAAAAGGCCTCAGATTTCGGCGACCGAGAGTCAGGTCCGGGGCCCAACGTGCTGTTTGCCGCCGCCTTTGGAGTCAACGACCGCAAATGGGCCACCACACATTTCGCAATTCAAGCGGGGACCCGTTCTTCCATTTGCTTCAGCCCCCTGGGAAAAATAATATTTCGAGTAGGTAAATCGATTCTTTTTAAAACCCACAGGGGAAAATATGGAATAGTCTTAAGCAAATGGACCGAATGAACGATCGTTGATCTTGGGTAGGTCCACCAACCACTGAGGCTGTTTCCACAACTCGAATTCAACCCGCATCGGCCAAAACCCCCCCAACCAGGATGGGTTGCATGACACAGCTCGTTTTCTGCTCGGGGAAAAGAAACCATCGTTCACAACGTGTGTCTTTTCTTGAAGATACCGGGCATATAAATGGACTGAAACTCCTTTATCACCCCCCCCCCCTCCCCCCAAAATAATAGTACAGAAACAGCTGGTATCCCCAACAGCAACCCTCAGAACCTTTTCAGAACCCTAGCCCAGAGCCGCTCCGAACCACTCCGAGCCTATCTGGGAAACAAAAAAAGAAGCTTCCAGCCGTTCGCGAACAACAGAACAATACATGATGAGAAGTCGGGTTTTCCCCATTTACTTGTTTGTTCCAGTATAATATACATACTTTTTTTGGAGTGCTATGTTTTCAAAAAACTCCGGCGCTTGTCCCTTCACTGTTCTTTCCCCTCCATGATTTTGCAAGGTGTTCCTGTTCTCAAAAGCACGCACAACCTGCGCATGGCAGATGGAAGCTGCAACTAAGGGGCTGTTGCTCGATCTCCTCCGCCTTCAAAGACTCGATCTGCTTCAGCACGAAGGACCGCTCCTCCGCAAACCATGGGTGGGCCAGTCAATCCATTGTTTATATGGGTATGGGAAACTAAACCACCAGGGGACCGCAGGCTTTGGTCCATGGCTCCACTTACCAGCGTTCCATTTGGGGTACCTATTTGTGAACCACAGCCATATATGGTAAAACTACCCCACTATCGTTTCAAGCAGCCACCCTTGCTTTCCCCTCACAAGGCAGCAGGCTGGTTGGTTAAAACACATGTCGCAGGCCCCCGACACCGATTCCGAAGGGCTTGCGAAAAGGGGTGATGATCATGTCCCTTGGCAGAAATTGTAGAACCATCATGTTGTGTCTTTTTTGGGGTGACCCCCTTTTTGTGGGTCCTCTAAAAAAAAAAAACATTGAACAATGAACGCCAGCACCATAAAGGGGAGGGTTCCTTGTTTATCGTGGCTTGCGTTGATTCTGGCGCTTGCAAAGTTCCAAACAACACGAAAACAAGCCCAACAACTCGAATTGGGCACACACTCACTCTCACCACTTGCACTTGCACCCTCTCCACACACACGGACACATCTTGGCCCACATCCGGGAAACGCAGAAGACAATACACAAGGAGACACATCTTGGCCGACATCACGGGAGCGCAGAAAACAATATGTTCAGGGTATGTTTCATGTTTAGAGTACCCTATATTCCGCCGTTGTGGTGAAGACCCTCTTAGATCTATTGATAAAAAACGGTTCTTCCACCTTTGGTCCAGCCCCTAAAACCCAACACTATCTCTGATGCCCGGCGGCCATGGGAAAAAAGGAATCGGCATCCTTTTTTGGTTCATTGACTTCAAAGGAATCGGAACCCTTCCCAAAAAAATGGAAGAAAGGGCGGAATCCACCGGGCAAAAGTAGGCTATCTGTCCCCCACCCTCCATCTGGCCGAAACCCACCGTCTCCCCGCCCGTCCTGGTCGCGGTGCTCCTCCTCCTTCATGCGCTGAGCTTGGCGGTCCTGACCATCGAGACCGCGCTTTTCGCGAAGGCGGGAGGCACCACGAAGCTTCGCACCGGCGCCAATGTCAAGGGAGTCCAACACCCACCGGGTGGTCAGAGCAAGCTGATTACTCGGTGTTTTGGACTGGGCTGGGTCGGAAAATAGCCAAAAGTTGAGTTGGCATCCTGCCATTCCCCGCCATGAAAACTCATGACCCCACGCAAAACAATGAAAAGGGTCTCCCCTCTTTTGGTGTGGAAATCCAGTTGAAACATGCCAAGCCTCCTCAACTATCCCTCCTCAAAAGAACGATGGTTGAAGTTCGTAAGGAGTCAACTCGTTAGCCCAAATTTGAATAGGGTACTCTTGAACCCCTAGAAAGTCATTCCCCACAAGCGGCAGTGAAAAAACAAACTCTAACCGCTGTGATGTTCCTTTGCAGCGTCAAAAAGTACCCTCTAAAGAAGGCACGCTGTGCAAATCCCTTCGGATTCCCTTTTAATGCACCCTACAAAGGCCGGGCAAGGAACAACACGATTTGAAGAGGTGCCTTCAAAACTAGAAAGGCCCGTCTGTGTGAGCCACCGATACTTCTTGAATCCACAAGCAAGCACCTTCCCAGACCAAGCTTTGCTGGGTTCGAAATTTGTTTGGGGACCCGAAATGGTGGACATGGCTGAGGTGGGGATTCATGTCCACCAACCACTTTACAGGGGGAGTTGTATGAAAAGTCCATTTGCCATAGCGAGGGAGATTCCAACTTCGATCGCAGCTTCCCTCTAATTGGTGGTGTGGGTTGATGGTTTGGAGGTGTTCCCTCGGTGGGCTGTTTTCCATTTTTATCCCCAAGAACCTGGCCCAAACCACCAACTAAGGGTTAATTATCTTGAATAGGGCGCCCTTGCCCCGAGAGTTGCTCCAAAACCCGCACATGGGTGGAGACATCTGGGCTCTGCCACAGCGAAACCCAAAGACAAAATCGCTCCCCAAGCTTCTGCCCTCGCCCGATCCTAGCTTAGGAGCCCCGAAACAGACGCCGCGGAACACACCGGAGACACGGCCCCTTGAGGAAAATGGTCCACACCAGGACCCTCCAGTCAAGTTCCATGTCAAGCCCAAGGACAAATCCCCCTGCTGCTGGGGAAGCAGGGCATGGGTGTGGCTTCTTTGATTTAGGGTGCCCTTTTCAGGTTGGTTTCAAGGAGAAAGCAAGTTGAAAACCTCCTTGGAACCGGGACCCAAAATGGCGCCGGGCTTTCCTTTTGGCCTCCCTTCGCAACGGAAAAAACTGGCTACCCACATTTCAGCCGCGTGCCTTGATCTGCTCAATGATGACCT